ACCCTCAAATCCTAAACCCGAAAACCTGCATCCTTAATCTCAGAGGCTTCGGAAAAAACTGGGGCCTGGGGCCTTTGGAGAGAGCACAATTTCAGGGCTCCGTTGAGTGGAGCTCGCGGCTACTTGAGGGTTCGGTTCAGGGGTTAGGGCTTTTAGGGTAGACAGGTTTAGGCTTCAGGGACTTCAGGGGCTCACGGGTTTGAGGGTTAGTTTCAGTGGTAAGAGCCTTAAGGGTAAAGATTGAAGAAGCGGGACCAGTTGGTTCCGTGGGCCATCTTGCCTTGATGCAACCCCCGGACAGTTCTCACTTCCGGAACTTTCGGAGACGGCAATGATAGTGATATTCAGAGTAATGCCAGTGGTACTTCAGGAAGAATAGCACAGCTAGTGTGCCGTCAGGGCAGTCACGCTGAAACCTGAAAGCCTTGACTTAAAACGGTTAAGAGTCAAGGCCCGAAGCCCTTAAACCCTAAACGCCCTAAACGCCCTAAACGCTCAAATTCTAAACCCTAAACCCTAAAGCACTTGTAGACCTTCGTTTGGAAGGTTCGGCATGGAGAGGTGGGCGGATTTTTCAACGGTGCCGGCGTGGCCACGTGCCCCAGCCGACATGGCACTTGAGTTTAAGGTTTAGGGTTTAGGGTACGTTTAGGGTTTAGGGTTTAGGGTGTGTTTAGGGTTTAGGGTGTGTTTAGGGTTTAGGGTGTGTTTAGGGTTTAGGGCTTAGTTTGCGTTTAGGGTTTAGGGTTTAGTGTGTGTTCAGGGTTTAGGGTGTGTTTAGGGTTTAGGGTGCGTTTAGGGTGCGTTTAGGGTTTAGGGTTTAGGGTGCGTTTAGGGTTTAGGGCTTAGGGTGTGTTTAGGGTTTAGGGTTTAGGGTGTGTTCAGGGTTTAGGGCCGTTTAGGGTTTAGGGTGTGTTTAGGGTTTAGGGCTTAGGGTGCGTTTAGGGTTTAGGGTTTAGGGTGTGTTTAGGGTTTAGGGTTTGTTTAGGGTTTAGGGTTTAGGGTGTGTTTAGGGTTTAGGGTGTTGGGCTTAGGGTTTCGTGTTTTGAATTGTGGGTTTTGGGTTTAGGGTTTATTAGGACTCAGTTTATTGGTAGGGATAGGGGATCAGGTTGCAGTTGTTCTACTTGGAGAGCCTCTCAAAGAGGGCACCTTGTTGCTATAGGCATTCGTTATATCATGGTTGGACATCCGACCTTCTGAGCCAGCCTCCCTAGTGTTGCGTCTGTTTTTGGATTAGCTTGTCCACGACACTTTTGGTCACTGCAACCAACAGATTTAGGGTTCAAGGCTTCGGGCTTGTATAGTCCATGGTTTCCGCCAGCAGTTGCACGTGCTTGTTTACAAGAGGCAAAATCGATTCGGTTCTATTTATAAGAGGCTACAGCGCTTCGGCAGCCCATCTATGCGCGCACACACCATAGTTGCCTGATGTCGCTTACTCGCCTGCTTACACGACGACTACGACCAGCACAAGCAACACCACGCCTGCTCGAGTATTAAACCCCGTCGGCATACATCACCTCCATCACCATGCCGTAGTACCGTAGTACCACAACCATTTCTACGACGACCACTACAGCGGCTACCACGACGAAGCAAGAAAAACAACCACACAAGGACCATCACTAGCAGCACTTCTACCTTAAAAGTAATCCTTACCAAAATTTGCCATATTGCTATTTTGCCTCCTGTTCGGCCTAGGAACCGCCATTTGCAGCGACTTGCTGTCGAGGACCCACAACTTGCGATGCTAGCTCGAACCCTTTCAGTTCAGCGTTGAGGTCCGCCATTCCGTGAAACTAAGAAGCTATACCGGGCCCATGACTACCCTTAACCTTAAACCCTTAACCGCCCAATGCGTGCCGAAGTGTATGCTCGGGGCTTCAGACACTTTCTCGCTGACCAAGAAGGAGAAAGCAGGGCTTGATACTAATGTAAAGCTCGATTACTACAAATACCCTCTTTGAGTCCTACATGTTATTGAGGGTTCGTGGTTGGTTGGCTTTGGAATTCATGGTGATCGGGTACACACCTCCGGAGAAGGCTGCGGCTAGACGTTCGCGGGGTTCGTCCGGTGGCGGGGGAATCCGTATGCTCGGAAACCCACTCGGGTTTAGGCTTTAGCGGTTTAGGGAGCCCGCCAAGGATGCTTGCGACTGCCTTGCTGTCAACAGAGGTTTTGAAGGCGCAAGAGGAAGACCTTGGGAGAGGATGGGCGAACGACCGCCCGACACCGGCGCCCTCATGTAGTCCCAACGCGCAAAAAAGCTGAATTCTCAAACAACTCAGCGGCTTGCTGAATTGAAGGGCGCTTTTAGTTTGGGCCCCAAGCACTCTGAGATCTTGTAAACTGTGTCCCCGAAACCCGCATGACGACAGGAGAGCCGACTGGGCATTCCACTCTTGCCACTCGCCACCAAGACCCGTCGTTTGCATGCTCGGGGCGGTAGGTCGGACAGTCCGCCTCGGCCAGGGGATAAAGGACTTTCAGCCTCGGGTGGACCCTTGCAGGCCCTTGCACCTTTTGCGGGGCAGACTTTTGTTCTACGGGCCCTTAAACCTTAAACCCATTTCAAAGTCCGAAGTTGAGGGTTTGTGGGCTTTTGGTCGATTACCGGTCCTGTGCCGGGTTTGTGTCTTTTGCCGGGGTCCGGCGCTTCGGCTATGGGTTCCATGGGTACTTGGAAGCTTCATGAGTAGTGACAGTAGTGACATGTAGAGATGTAGGCAGCTTGCTACGTCCCCCTCTTCCTTCAAGTACTATAACTGAACCTTCGAAATTTGGCTCGGCTTTGCTAAATGGGGTCTTATGTTTGCGCACAGGAGATATTCCAAAGTAGAGGATGCAAAACGCACAAATCCCCTGCAATCTGGATACCACCATACCTTTCATACCAGCCCCCGCCAAGTCCAGACAATGTTAGACCCCGAACCCCAGAGGCTCGACCTTGTTCTCGCAACGCTGCCAGGTTTGCAGCAGATGTGTGGCACGGCATGTGGCTGGGCCTGTCATCAGCCACGAGGGTGGTGGCTGAAGTATGATACTTTGCCGTTGAGCACTTCAACTGTTTTCGGATCTACGTGTCTGGTGTAGACATATTCCTGCGATGGGTGATTGAAGCTGCAAAGAGCCTGAAAGCCTCAAGTTCTCCTAAACCCCAGAACCTAAACCCCAAGAGAACGTGCCTTAGCCACGACAGTTTCCCCGCTACCCGCGACAAGAAACCAACTTGCGTTTCTTGTCGGGGGTTTGGGTGTTTGAGATGTGTCGGGGATTAAGCGCGCCCTCAAACCCCAAACCCGAAAGCCATGTTGGACAGGGGAAACAGAGCCGGGCTCCCTTCGGATGAGTACTACGCTCGTACATGCCCTAGGACGTTTTGGATCAGAGGTGCAGGTTCTAGGGTTTCAGCTGTGCGTTAACGCCATGTATTGTTGATACCGAAGCAAAGCTTTCTGCCACAGCCTTTTACCGCAGTGTACGTACACTTGCTGTGAGGTCCAGTGGGGCTGGTTCGAAACTACGAAGCGGCGGTCTGGTATCATTTTGTGAGGATTCTGTGGTTTTTATAAGGGCTTTGCCGGGCTGTTTGTGGGAAATCAATCTTTTGCAATGATTCTTTCAAGAGAGGTTCCGACAAAGCTCCCCGCCACTGATGGCGCAGTCCCAAGCCAGACTAGTTTCCAGAGTGCCCAATTCGGCCTTGAACTAAAAGGATACTCCTTCAAATTAAGTTGTACATAGGTGCCTTAAGCCCTAAACCCTAAACCCTAAACCCTAAACCCTAAACCCTAAACCCTAAACCCTAAACCCTAAACCGATTACCAGCCCTGGTTCTTAGGTGGACCATCTTCCCGGTGCCCTTGGCTGAGGCTCGCTGCCTTCTGCACGGAGCAAGGGTTCAGACTTTCGAGATATATGGGGGTTTCCGAAAATAGGGGACCCTAATAATATAGTCCCATAAATAGTAGGATCCTTATGATAAGGAACCCAAAATGAGGTACCCCAATTTCGGAAACTCCCATATAGGTATCTTCCATGGGGCCGCTCGTGGTTGCACCGCTGCATTCGAGTCAAGCACCCCTACCGCTCAGACATTTAGCGGAATCGTTTTTCAAACGGCATGGAGGTTCTGAGTTTTTGTGCGGTTTCGCGGCAAAGGTTTAGGTCTTGGCCATCGTCGAATCATATTCTCCGTCTTTATCTTCATCGTTTTCAGCGGCTAGATGCCTCAAGGTCCAGAATCAGAAAGCTTGCGATGTCATAAACCCTTAAACCCAAACTCCTGTGCGAACCCAATCTATCCCGAAAAACCCATCTCGTTAAGCACGCATAGGACCTAGGAGGAAGCTACAGGGCATCCGGAATCACTGAAAATAGGTGGCTCAGCATGGTTTCGGGGCTCAGAGATTCGGCTTCGAGATTGCGAGAAAGTGGTTGCAGGCTTGTGGAGCTTGGAGAATTGATGGACTCAGCCCTCCGAGCCCTACCCACCTAACCTCAACCCCAAAGCCCAAAGCCCAGACCCAAAGCCTCAAAAACCTGAAATCGCTGCCCGTGCCAAGCCAGGCCTCGGCGTGGAGCCCGTATCTCTCGGAGGAAACTGCCAGAGCCACAGCCGTGGAGGCGACGGCTCGAGGGCTTCATCCAGGGATTTCAGCATCCTGATTCCCATTTTCGGGAACTACACGGACAGTTGCATGTAATATCAGACGTCTGGTAATGTCTATGTCTGACTCTGCATCTGTATCTACATATTCGTATCTGTATATTAATTCATACCCATATATGGGGGTCTATATCTCTATCTATAAATCGGTACACATGCATATGCAGACATACATATGTCTGCGTGTGTGTGTGTGTACGTCTGTTCGTGTCTTGTTGTATATGTAATCAGGTATATACCTAAATATCTATATATGTAAATATGGAAATATACATGCATACCTGTGTACATATTCGTGTATACGTAGTCAATCAGTCAGTCAATTAAGTATTAATTAACTAACTGATTAAGTAAGTGAGCAAGCAAGCACGGAAGTAAGTAACAAGTTAGTAAGCAACTCCCATACCCTAATCCCTTATTACCCTGGTAGTCCATTTGGAGCCTTCAAATGAAGGGAACGCAGACGGGAAACCTATAAATCCTACAACCGATAAACCCTAAACCCTCAACCCTAAACCCTTGCAAAAGGAGTCAGAGACCCCCTGTTTTACGTCCCAAAAATACAACGCCACCCTTATAAAAAGGATCCCGAAAAGATCCCCAGCATCTCAGTACACCTTTCCGAGGGTTTAGGACAAGACTAGGTAGTGCCCTGGAGCTGGTGCTAATCCAACCTCCCCAAGCCCGGGCCATGCCTACCCTAAACCTCGAGCTCTAAATCCCACTAAACCCTCACCCTAACCGCAACCACAACCCAACCCCAGCCCTAAACCCCAACCCAAACCACAGACCCTAAACCCTAAAACCCCAAGCCCCAAGCCCCGAAAGTTTGGCTCTAGGCCGGAGCCTCGGGTCTCTCGTGGACGCAACTTGCCCCGATCAGGGGCTTTGGGCGTCAAATCCATTTGGGGGTCAGGGGCTTGCAGGGTTTTGTAGGGTTTTCAACGGGGTTGTATAGAGGGATTGATCAGATTCTGTCGGATTTTGCAGGGTTTCGGGGTTCAGGGTTCGGCGTTTTGAAGTTCAGCGCTTTCGGCCGCGGTGTTGCTAAAGTAATCCGAGTAGGGGCTCGATTCACGTTGTTGAGCATCTTTCACCGCGTGCATGGTCGGTCTGCGATGGCCGAGTTCGACTTTTATCGTTTTGTTTTCCTTCGTGTAGGCGGAGGTAGACGAGGGTGCCGAATCAGGAAAAGATCCCTCACACAAAGACCTGAAGCCCCAAAACAGCGCAAAACCCGAACCCAACAAGCCCAAACTCTAAGTCCAAGGAGCTCCAAAGCTCTAAACCCCGAGCCCTAAAACCCCCAAACGCTAAACCCCTGAGCCCCAAAACCCGCAAGCCCCCCGAAGCCCCCCAAACTCCAACTGGGTTGCTCCTTTTTTTCCCCTGGAGACCTTGAGCCCCAAAACTTGAGGGGGCTTCCGAAACAAAGGGCCTCAAGGCCTTAAGGCCCTTTTGGTTGAGGGTTCAAGGTTTGGGGTTGAGGGTTTACGGGTTCAGAGTTGAGGGTTCAAGGGTTTAGGGTTGAGGGTTTACGGGTTTAGGGTTGAAGGGTTAGTCAAGTTTAGGTTTTTTTGGGAGATCCTTTCATGGTTAGGAGAGGCTCGTTTTCCTCTAGGGTGCAACTATAGTCCTGCTTCCTGACCCTTAGGACAATTTCTTGGTTGCGGGACACCCCTGAGCCCTAAACCCTAAACCCAGTGCTTGGCATCAGCTTTGGGCTGGTGATTACAATGCTCACATTGCCAAAGACGAGCCGGTCGCGGACAACATTGGCTGTAGAGAGGCCTCAGCACTCCTGATATAGGGGCCTAGATAATTGCCAAGAATATTACCACGATGGGAGGACGGCTCCTGAGAGAAGCTCTTGCCCGGACCCCTGCTGTTCTCTTCAACTCGTATGTGCCAACTAAGCACCGCGGCACCTGGCGCCACAACGTGACGGGCCAAGATTACGAGCTTGGTCCCTTCGTGGGTTGCTCGTTCTTTCAGAAAGCTCTGCAAGGATGAGGTTGAGGATTCTACTCGTTGGGGTCTATGCTAAAGTCCTTTGTTTTCCCGAAACTGCCCTAGGGGCTCTAGGGATTTCCTAAAGCCCCAACCCCAATCCCAAAGCACAACCCAACCCGAGACCCCAAGCTCTAAGCCTCAAACTCTTTTCGGGCTCTGGTTGGACTCCTAGGTTTGGGCTTTATGGGTTTAGGATTTTAAAAATCTAAGGTTAGAAGTATGGGCCCCTAATATGGAGCCTTGGGCCTTTCTCGGGACCCTTAAGGGTACATCTAGGGTTTATAGTAGGTGCACGAGTATTAGAATTTAGGGTTTAGGAGTTTAGGGACTTAGGGGGTTGGGGTTTAGGGTTTAGGGGTTCGGGGGTTGTCGCTGGGTCATCCCAGCAATATGCCAAGGTTTGCTCCGATGGTCGATTTGGCGCGAGATCAACGCTGGGGCCGCAACGTGGAGGCCATGAGGGCACTGTGCTTTGCCAGGGGAAATACATGCTCCTTAATCGAGTACTATGCCTCAATGCAATAAATCAGCCTGAGAAGCCCTCTAAGCTTTCAGGTGCGTTACGTCATTGCGATACCGGGCACTCCGGGTTGTCAGGATTCGGTGTCTAGGAACTGCTCAGATATCGACTCAGCAGAGCTAACATCTGAATGCCTAAATGCTAAAGCTGCTAAAGCCCCGAACCGTCGGCGTAGTTCCCTCGATACTTCTTGGCCGGGTTCCCTCACTTGAAGGAGCAGGGGGCTTGGCAAGTGAGTTCAACTGGTGTCAGCATAGACATGCGGCAATGATAGGCTCGGTCATCTAGGCTTTCTTCAGCCCTTCCTCCACAGCCTGATTCCGAAACCGCAAGCCTCCAATGACTCTCGCGTATAGCTCTGTGTACCAAGTCCAGCGATCCTGCAATTGCATTGCCAGAGTAGCGGCAGCGTGTTTCCAAGCGACGTGGAAGTGAAAGGCTTCAGAGTGCAGCACAAGCGATAAACCAAGCGACCAAGCGAAACGGTGGGCTCTTTCCTGCAACCTACCAGAAGTTTCTAAATCATTCCCATCATCTTCGTAAACGTAGAGGTTTGATCTTTTTTAAATAGTACCCTCTTCAGACTTATAATACACTTTGAACCTCGAAAACTCTATTCTCATTACTATCGCCCCTTTGTGAACCAGGGCGCCGGTGAGGATCCGTTCTTAGCATCCCTCCTGGCCGAGGCCGGCCAGCCCAGGGACTCCGGCTTTTGGGGGATTTGTTGTCGGTTTTTGGGTTTAGTGGCTTTAGGGTTTAGGGTTTAGGGTTTAGGGGTTTAGGGTTTAAGGGTTTAGGGTTTAGGGGTTTAGGGTTTAGGGGTTTGGGGTTTAGGATTTTCGGGATTTGGGTTTAGGGCTTGAGGTTTTCAGGGCTTAAGAGCCTGGTGTTGAGGCTGTTGGGAAGGGGTGCACAGGCAATGGTTGCAGCTGAGGAGGCAACCTTAGTGGCACCTGAGCCCTTTCCTCCAGCGTCTGAAATCCTAACTCCGGGAGCTTCTCCGATCAAAAGCAGAACTTCATGTCTAATGATCCAATACAGGGGCCTAGGCAATTAGAGCCATGTTTTGGGTGACCAGGCCGGTAAGCAGAGCTTATTACTGCACATTGGAATCTCGATGTTAGATCCTCCCCCCTGCCCAAACATGATGCCCAAGCATGAGACTCTAATCCTGCAAGCCCAAGCCCACCCCCGAACTCTAAACTCAAAGCGCCAACAAGGTAAACCCTGTATCCCCAAAACTCTCCTGAGTTCCGTAACTCGTCAACAAAACATTAAGATCGACAGTTTTCTCAGCATTTCTGAGACCAGCAAGCAAACCCTTGCCATAAACCCACCACCACAAGCCCAATGCCAAAGCCCAAACCCTAACCAGACGCCCCACACTCCAAAACCCCAAACCGCCAACCCCGAAGCCCCAGCGCAAACCCTCGAGCAAGTAATTGTTGTACACCAGGAAGCAACAGAAAGCATTCGAACCGACTTTTAGCATCTAGAATGAAAACACGAATCCAACAGCACATGCACAAACACAGACAACGACCAACACCCGAAGGCGCGAGTCCGGGGCTTTCAGGGCCCCGACCTCCACTTGAACACCTCCCTGGGTGCCTGCCTGAAACACTTTGCCGGCTACTCAGGCGGGTTCTCCGGGTCCGGGAGGGGATTCAAAAGGTCTTTGAGAGGGCCGTTCACATCCCTGAGGGTTCTACAAGGCTTAAGAAAGGCTTAGGGTGTGGGGCTGTAGGGTTTAGGGCTGAGGGTCGTGGGTTGTTTGCGGTGATTTGGGGGGCGACGAGTAAGGGTTTCGATGAGGCCTCCCCGATACTTCTGCGGACTGTAACGGCTCGGGATTTTGGGCCGTCTTGCGGCTTCTTATAATAAATCCTAGACCTAGACCGTAGCCTGGATCCCGAATCCTTTTGCCGACTTCCGAAGACGCCTCTGGCCAGGTGTGGAGGCGGGCTTGGACTACTCTGAGACAGACATCTCCTTGCAGACCTTTCGGGAGATGTGCCTTGTCCTGGGCTGGGGGTTTGGGGGGGTCTGCAGGGGATTGAGGGCTCGGAATTCAGGGCTTTTGGGGTTTTTTGCTCAGAGTTTCGCTGCAGCCTTAAGCCTGAAGGCCGCACCCTGAACCCTCTGGCCTTTGCGGTGCCCGAAGGCTTCATAAGAGCGCCATGCGGGCCTTCCGGCGGAGAGCAAAGAACTGTGAATCCCCACATCTGTCAGAGAACTGAACTGAAGGGTTTAGGGTAGTGGAGGGTAAATCGTCAATCTCTAAGCCCCAGTCCTGGCAGTTGAAGCCTGGAGCCGCTGTTTAATCTTTGCAACCTACCAACATCTCTGCTATCTGAGGCAACATACTGGTAAAAGGCAACACCGTGAGTCCTTCAGGAACGCGTGTTTTCCACCGCCACTTGCACAGCATGAGGCTCGAGCAACTTTCAGCAGGCGTCCGCCGCAGACATGCAGGCATGTCGTTAAAATCGGAATCTAGCATTATGCAGATTCTCGAGTGAGTCACGATGTTAGTGGAAAAACCTTTTCGACAGCAAACAAGCAGTCGTGTGACATCACATGTGCCCATACTACCTGCTACTATCATATGTTCAATTGCTTCAAACACCTGGTTGTGAGTATCTATAAACATACATTTGCACATACAGAAGACGAAGCCTAAACCCCAAACACTAAACCCACAACCCCAAACAGACCACGCAAAGCCGTTTGCTTCAAGGTTCCTGCCACCTTTCCAAGCTGGCATCGATGCTGGGGCTGTCAGTGTGATGAGTGCGCTGAATGCCCTGAGCCTTGGTATAGGGGTTTTACCTGGGTTCCGACAGGGGGTTTTGAAGGGCTTCAGGATGACTTATAATGTTTTTTGGGGGTTGGGGGTTAATTAGGTGGCTGGAGTGGGGGGTCCAGAGTCCAGACTTTTAGGGGTTTCCAGTGTGAGTTGAAGACCAGGGAGTGCTTTGGAAGACTGTACCAGCTGCAGGGCTCAGGGTTTGGCGGTTTTGTCGAGGCGAAAGGTCGAGAAGATCCTTGCATAGAGGAAAGTCCAGAAGTTGGCAAGGAATGGTGTGCCGTGCAGTGGCAACCGCTGGCTGCTGTCGGATCTGCTGCGGGGACGCTTAGGCGATTTTAGGAGCCCTTTTTTGTTGTAACTTCGTCCTCGCCGGCTTCCGACCTGTGAACATACTTGATCAAACAAAGCCCAAAAAACAATGGGGAAGCGCTGTTGACGAAGAGGATGATGTTCGGGATGGTGACATGCTGATGACTAGGATGAAGGCGGCGATGATGTTGATGATGTGGTGCTGGCGGTGATGATGATGATGATGATGACGCTGATGATGATGATGATGATGATGATGATGACGATGATGATGATGATGACGATGGTGATGATGGTGTGATGATGGTGTGATGATGGCGGCGGTGATGATGGTGGCGATGAGGTGATGATGCGATGATGCTGATGATGATGGTGGTGATGATGATGATCATCATGGTTGGTTGGTTGGCTGGTTGGTTGATT